GCCCCTGAATGCCCTCCAGTGGAATTAGAAGGGAACTGAGCTGTACCAGCAGCAGTCTGTGCACAGCTCATGTATTGGGCAGAATGACTTGACAAAGCTTGAGGATAATTAACCAGTGAAAAACTAGACGTCTGGGGCACCTGGATGGCTCAGTGATTGAGCGTCTGCCTTTGGCTCAGGTCATGATCCCGGAATCCTGGGATCAAGTCCCATATCAGGCTCCCTGTGGAAGCCAGCTTCTCCTTCTGCCTATGTCTCTGCCTCTTACTCTGTGTCTCTCATGAATAAATAAATAAAATCTTTAAAAATAAATAGATAAAAAGAAACTAGATGTCTAATTAGTATCTGGTGATTTGGTTAATGCCAGATTCCCATTTCTAGGGTGAGGCTGAAGTTGAAGACCAACTGTTAGATATTCAGGAGTCATTTGTGAAGCAGGCAATGTCGGAGGAGAAACTACAGAAAAAGACTGATTGTGGAATTTCAATGACTGACAAGTCTAAAGTCATAGATTTTGCTGAAGTTTGTCCATCTACTCCAAAGGTCAGCTGCAGTTCCTGGTTCTGGTGCAAAGAAAATTCAAATTATAAATGCATATACCATGCCCATTTTAATGGGCCTGTCCCAGACAAAATGATGGACAAAATAATATTATGTTCTAAAAATTCCAGCAAGTTATCAAAAAGGTGCTGGGCATAGTATTAGTACTACAAAAATTCTTAATATCATGAGTAAATGCTAATTGAATACATTAAGGGATTGAGACCAGTCCCAGTAATATACTGCTCATGGCTTCTCATTTATTGCACTTGCCACATAATTCATTCAAACCCTGGCAGAGATTCAGAGTAACTGAATCTAACACCTTCACACACCAGACACTGGAAGTTCTAAGAAAAAGCTCAAAAGGATTTTAATAGCATAGCTACAATGAACACAGAAGCTTTCTAAAGAGGAGAGCAGAGAGTTGGATGAATAAATATAGGTTGGTTGCAATAATTCCTAGAACTTGAACTACCACGTTCATAAAAAGACACCAATGGTCAAAGTGCTTGCTTATGTGGTTTCTATGTATGGTGAAGACAGTCCAAAACATAGCAGGTATGTGATATAGATGTATATATAAACAAACATATATATATATGTATACATAGGGGAAAAAAAGACAAATCTAGAGGCTTTACTCACAAATGTAAACAATAGGTTGTCTCTAGCTGGAGGAATAACCGGTGATTTTCACTGTTTTATAATTTCAAAGGCTTTATTTTTTAATTTCTGTTTTTTATAATTATATATTTCAAATCTTTTTTTAAAGATTTATTTATTCATGAGACACACACACACAGAGAGAGAAAGAGAGAGAGAGAGAGAGAGAGAGAGAGAGAGAGAGAGAGAGGCAGAGACACAGGCAGAGGGAGAGGCAGGCTCCGTGCAGGAAGCCCGATGTGGGACTCGATCCCGGGTCTCCAGGATCAGGCCCTGGGCTGAAGGAGGCACTATAACGCTGAGCCACCTGGGCTGCCCATAGCTTTTATTTTTTTTTTTAAATTTTTTTAAATTTTTCTTTATTTATTTATGATAGTCACAGAGAGAGAGAGAGAGGCAGAGACACAGGCAGAGGGAGAAGCAGGCTCCATGCACCGGGAGCCCGACGTGGGATTCGATCCCGGGTCTCCAGGATCGCGCCCTGGGCCAAAGGCAGGCGCCAAACCGCTGCGCCACCCAGGGATCCCAGCTTTTATTTTTAAATGGGTAAATAACCCTCAATTTTTAAAACTTTTACAACATTTTGGAAACACATTTTAAAATACACATATCTGCATACTATGTGGTTGAACCCAAGTTAATTTAAGCATCCATTCAACACACTTTGCATGAAAGTCTTAAAAAGAGACAAACCATAACAAGAGCTCAATTATGAATATGTACCATGTTACCTACAAACACCAGCCAAATACCAAGCACTGTCAACTCCATCAGATTAAATTTATCTCAGCAGATTTTTTTAAAGATTTTATTTATTCATAGAGACAGAGAGAGAGAGAGGAGAGAGAGAGAGAGAGAGAGAGAGAGAGAGAGAGAGAGAGAGGCAGAAACACAGGCAGAAGGAGAAGCAGGCTCCACGCAGGGAGCCCAACGAGGGACTCGATCCCGGTCTCCAGGACCACACCCTGGGCTGCAGGCGGTGCTAAACCGCTGTGCCACTGGGGCTGCCCTACCTCAGCAGATTTTAAATGTACCTGACATTTGTCAAGTATGTGTATGCCTTCCCCTACAAAACTGTGAACTACCTGAAGGTAAGAATCATGTTTTATCTTACATCCTCAGAAATGGCAGTCATTAAAAATTGTTGATGAGCCATGACGTACTATATACCAATCTCTTAAAAGAAACAGACATGCTGAGACGCCTGGGTGGCTCAGCAGTTGAGCATCTGCCTTTGGCCCAGGGTGTGATCCTGGAGTCCTGGGATCGAATCCCACATCGGGCTCCCTGCGTGGAGCCTGCTTTTCTCTATGCTTCTCTCTCTGCCTTTCTCTCTCTGTGTGTCTGTCTCATGAATAAATAAATAAATAAAATCTTAAAAAAAAAGAAAGAAACAGACATGCCAGCTGCTAACTGAATCATATACAGCGAATGCTCAGACCATCTCATTCCCAAAGAAATAAGGCACATACAGGGGAGGGTAAGGTTGAGAAAATAAAATGCAGTGATGGCAAAAAGCTGAACCATGTGCCCAGGCCTCATTAACCAAGGGAACCAGATTATAATCTTAATATATGAACTCTCATAAAAACGGTTTACTCCTTCTCAGAAATGAATAATGCTGACTTTGAGAGTAAAAAAGACAAAAACATTTATTTCTCCTATAGAAATATACATGAATCAAAAAAAGCCAAGATCCAATAAAGAGTCCAATAACCAAAATATATAAAGAATTTATATAATTCAATATCAACACACACAAATAATCCTATTTAAAAAATGGGCAAAAGACATGAACAGACATTTCTCCAAAGACGACATACAGATGGCCAATAGACACATGAAAAGATGATCAACATCACTCATCATTAGGGAAATGCAATTCAAAACCACAATGAAATATCACCTCACATCTGTCAGAATGGCTAAAACCAAAAACACAAAAAAACAAGTGTTGGTAAGGACATGGAGAAAAAGGAACCCTCTTGGGAATCCCCTGGTGGGAATGCAAACTTGTGCAGCCACTGTGGAAAACAGTATGGAATTTCCTCAAAAAAATAAAAATAGAATTATCATGATCCAGTAATTCCATTACTGGGTACTTCCTTCAAATAATATGAAAATACTAATTCAAAAAGATATATGCGCCCCAATGTTTATAGCAACACTAATTATAATAGACAAATCATGGAAGTAACCCAAGTGTCCACCAACAGATGAATGGATAAAGGGGTGTGTGTGTGTGTGCGTGCGCGCACAGGAATATTATTCGGCCATAAAAAAGAATGAAATCTTTTCACTTGCAGCAACATGGATGCATCTAGAAGGTATAATACTGGGATCCCTGGGTGGCGCAGCGGTTTGGCACCTGCCTTTGGCTCAGGGCGCGATCCTGGAGACCCGGGGTCGGATCCCATATCGGGCTCCCGGTGCATGGAGCCTGCTTCTCCCTCTGCCTGTGTCTCTGCCTCTCTCTCTCTCTCTCTCTCTCTCTCTCTCTCTCTCTGTGACTATCATAAATAAATATTAAAAAAAATTTAAAAAAAAAATAGAAGGTATAATACTAGGTGAAATAAGTCAATCAGATGAAGGCAAATACCATATTATTTCACTCATATGTGGAATATAAAAAGCAAAGCAAACAAAGAAAGAGAGAGAGAGAGAGAGAGAGAGAGAGAGAGAGAGAGAGACAGAGACAGACAAGCCAAAAAGCAGACTCTTAAGTATAGAGAACGAACAGTTACCAGAAGAGAAGTGGGGGGGATGAGTAAAATAGTTGATTGGGATTAAGAGTACACTTATCATGATGAGCACTGAGTAATGTATAGAATTGTTGAATCACTATATTGTACACCTGAAACTAATAGAACACTGTATGTTAACTATACCGGAATTTAAATTTTTCAAAAAGCCAAAAAAAAATTTTAAAGCCAAAAATTTAGGGACACCTGAGTGGCTCAGCAGTTGAGTGTCTGCTTTTGGCTCAGGGTGTGATCCCAGGGTCCAGGATTGAGTTCCACATCGGGCTCCTTGCCGGGAGCCTGCTTCTCTCTCTGCCTATGTCTCTGCCTCTCTCTGTCTTTCGTGAATAAATAAATAGAATATTTTTAAAATTTTTTTAAAATAAATAAATAAAAGCCAAAAATTTAGATGAAAGTGTTAAAAATTGTAAGCCTATAAACTACTATTTCTAATTAACTAGGGAAGAAATCCCTCTAGGGGTACCTGGGTGGCTCAGTAGGTTATGCGTCTGCCTTCAGCTCATGTCATGATCCCAGGTCCTGGGATAGAGCCTCTGCTCAGTGGGGAGTCTGCTTTTCCCCCTCTCTTTGCCTGCCCTCTACCCCCACTCATGTGCATACTCTTTCAAATATATAAATAAAATCTGTAAAAAAAAAAAAGAAGAAGAAGAAAGAAGAAAGAAGAAAGAAGAAAGAAAGAAGAAGAAAAGAAATCCCTCCACATTCACACCAGGCTAGAAAAGTCTAATATAAAGAACAAACCATCATCACCAGGAGCAAGAGATCTGAGTCCTAAATAAGTTTGTTTATCCATATATGGAGTTCTCAGTTTCTTTTCCAATTATACGAGCAGTGTCTCAAGACTCTAGCTTCACAATGTTAAGCACATCCTCAAGAACATCTTAGGTGAAGGAAAACATAAACAACTTTTGGCTTTCAGGGAGTTTTACATAAACTATAATGAATTTGTGAAAGAGAGCCTTTGCCTGTCAGAAAATCTAGACAGTGTTGAATATATTTAACTGAATACAGAGCCTCTAAAATATATCTTACCTTCATCTGTGAGACCTTCTGGACAGTTAATGGGGAAACCTGGGGTTGTGCAACAACTGGAGGTCCAAGGACATGTACAGGCAAAACAGAAGACTGACCTTGAACCAAAGGCAAGATGTGGGGCTGAGTCAGCTTTGGCTGCTGTTGCAGCTGTTAAATAAGAAAAATATATATATATTAAAGATAAACTCTCTCATTTACAGTAAATATATGGATTATATATTTAAAAATGTAACAGTTCACCTCACCCCTGAAATCTGCTGGTAATGTCCTACTAGCTGCTGGGATGGATAAATCATCCCTGGAACATTTCTTTCAGCCTGTGAGATGTTGGAAACCACTTGAGAGCCCATCATCTGGTCTGAGGAATAGGCTATACTGGGCTGACTTGAAGTATCTGAGTGTACAGCAGATCCAGCTCCCACTTCGGACAAATTGTCACCTATGACAAAGAAAATAAGCAACAAGTAGAAGGAAAACTTGAAGCACAAGGTCCTAATGACATAGAAAATAAGTGTTTTATATTTCTTTTCCCTCTGAAAACCTAAGACAACTTGAAATAAAACATGCACATTACACAGTTAACCAAAAACCATTATATAAACTCTCCATGCGGACACTGTGGTATAACTAAAATTTTCTTAGTAAAGTAAACCTATAAACAAAGAATCACATAAAAATCAACTCCATTTGCTGGCCATTTCATGTATAACCCCAACTAATCTATACTTGCCATTAGGACTTCAGAAAAATCTAAGTGTCATATTCTCATTTTCCTAGAACCTGGCTAGAAAATAATACTGTCTTTATAGAACAATTGGTTATTACTATGAAAATACTGTGTCCTTCTGACTAGAGAATGTATTATAGCAGAAAAATTAGAGGAAAAAAAAGAAAAAGAAAAATTAGAGGAACCATGATTTTATACTTGAGTCTAAAATACAAAGGATCTTAAAGTCTAGAAAATTCCTTCTTGAGGAATAAATATAGTTCCAAATTTTCTTTATTAAAGGATTTACATTAGACCTTTAAAAATAGTAAAAAGATTATAATCCTTACTCAATTAGCACCTTGGACAAGTCACATAACAAAATAGTTTGTTAATTTTATTTTATTTATTTATTTATTTATTTATTTATTTATTTATTTAGTTTCTTAATTTTAAAACAAGGAAACTAGCTGGCTTCGTCTGTTTCAGGGATTTTGTAAAAAGACTGATGAAATGATAGATAACAGAATGCTTTGAAAAACACAAAAGTACTGTTTTGAGATAAGGGAATACAATTACACATTTGTGTGCTTTTATAAATTGTGCTGTTACCTGTAACAGAGGGATGGGGCTGCTGTGGTTTTCTTTTTAGAAGCTGTTGTCGAACATGTTGATCAACTTCAGTTTCTTCACATTCTGCTCCAGTGTGCTGAGCAGGAGCAGAAGGTAAAGTTGTGTTCTGGGGCTGAGGAAGTACATTCCCTGCAGACTTGGACTGGGAATCCCTGCGTTCTTCCAAACAGCCACTTGGCTTCTTCTCCCTCGTCTTCTTTATCAGAGTGACCCGGTCTCTAATGGATTTAGCAACAGCTTTGGAATCACTTTCATGGAAGAATCCTGACTTGACCTACAAACAAAACATAATAAGCAAACTACATCTTTAATATTTAAGATTTTAACTTTTTTTTTACTAGAAGAGTTATTTTGTGCCCCCCCCAAAATTCCAAATGCTATTAAATTAACAGTTAATTTGTTTACATGTTTTTTTCAATTCAATATGATTGACAGTTTCAGATGTACATCATAGTGATTCAATATTATGGATGTATATTTATGTTCTTTTTAAATCAGACATACATAAATCGAGAGCCTTTAATCAGCACAAGAAAAACAACACCATTACCAAGCATTGTTAAAATAATTCTGGCTTTAAACAAAAACAGACAAAAAACTTGATGTTTCAGTACATGCAGTCTTATTACAGTTAATTTATGACTCATTAAGGTTTGTGAAAGATTAAAAAGGTTTCCTCATTCAACATTAAGTGCCTACAATGTGCCCAGTACTGGACTCCAGAGACATATAAGTTACTACATTGGTCCTTTGTCCTGTATGAGCACACAATCTGGTGGTAAGATGGTACAAATTTAACTTAAAATAAGGTAGAAAAGCCCTAAAGGAAAAAGTAGAGAAAGTGTCACAGAGGAAGGTAAACTCTAACTTGAATTAAAACAAAAAAGGAACTTGATGGCTATTAAGGGAGGTATGAACGAAGTTTAGAGATCCACACTCTAGGCAAAGGGAAATATGCTCACAGCAAAGTACTACATCTTACCAGGCGTTAGAAGAGTGAGAGAAGAGAAGTTAAGGGCTTGCTGTCTGAGAAGAGCAGGGCTGAGTAGCAGAGAAGATGACTTGAAGAGGTGTCATGGCATATCATTCTCAGTCCTACAATCTGTTTTTTAAAGCATGTCTTGGGGGTCTGCAGACTCAGGGAAATTTCGTGGTAGTTGAAAGATGATTAAAATGTTAGATGGAATCCATATATTTAATTTCACTCCCTCCCGAAGCTCCAAAAACAAAACAAAACAAACCCCATACTAAATGGATTTTTAGGTTGTAAACCACAAGGACAGGGAGAATAAGAGAAAGGCAACAGCAACAACATTTTGGACACTCCGGAATGTAGAAAACAGATTAAGTAATAAGTGACCTAGCAGTCCTGAAAAAGGTGAACTAGGGAAAGCTGAGATTCATTAATCATTTATACTGAAAAATACTCATAAGGCACAGGAACTGGCAATATCAGTTACTTCCAGAACTGGGTAAAGTCAAAAGAGATGACTAAAATAAGGAAGACTAAGTGAAAGGGTTGTGAGAAGCAGTTAAATATTTAGATCCCTATACCCCACCCTCCATTCCACACTTTTGGGTGATTGCTTCTCCCTACCCAAGAAGCCTGGAGATTTGTTCTCTAGAGAGGGTAAAAGAGGGTCTCTGGACTATGGCACACTAGACACAGTTGAGGGTTAAGGCTACCGTGTAGAAAACAAAATTGAATGACCATATGCATGCTGAATGCCATACGCAGAAACCCTTAGCTCTTTACCCCACTTGGCTACCAAAATACCAGTAACCAAACCCTTATCCTTCAGGAAGGACATTGAAAGATGATTATCTGGGGAACCTGACCAATCCAAGAAGACATACCTATAAATATTGATGTCAAAGATTCCCTAATTAAAGGCCTACCCAGATACCCTAAGGTATAAGTCAAAGTTAACAAGTCTAACACAAGCAATCACATCATCCAATAGGCTGTAAGTTCCTGTGTTTGGCAAAATTAAGGCCCCTCAAAGATGTCCCATCCTAATCCTCAAACTTGTGAATATAATGAAATATCACTCCCATTATTTTGCTATGAACAGTTGACCTTAAAATAGGGATATTATCTATGTGAGCCTTTTACCAGCAGGTGACTCTAGAAGGATTCAACAAGACATTGCTGACTTTGAAGATGGAGTGGGGGTACATGAAAAGACTGAAAAGCAGCCTCTAGAAGTGGAAAGTAACAACCAGCTAATAGCCATCAAGGAAACAGGGGCCTCAGTCTTACAACCATAAGGAACTGAATTCTGCCAACAACTCAAAAGCAGCCCCCCACCCACCTCCACCAACCAAGAGCCTCCAGATAAGAGCCCAGGCCACCAACAACTGGATTTTATCCTGTAAGATCCTAAGCAGAGAATCCAGTGAAGTCCACTTAGGCCTTTTGACTTCTAGAACTGAGATAATAAATGGATGTTGCTTTAAGCCATTGAATTTGTGGTAATTTGTTACACAGCAACAGAAAACAAATATAGTCTCCTATAATCTATTAATCATAAGCAACTAGCCAAGAATTATCAGAAATATCAGAAAAGCCTCTAACAAGAAAACAGCACAAAACCAGCAAAAGTAAAACAGCAATTTGTAGAAAAGAGCCTACACAGGGAGAAAAAATGTCAAAAACACTCTCTTTACTAGTGTTACAGAGAGGTGTGATAATATTGCCTCCATGAAACAAAAAACAAGATGTTTACTCTAAAGAAGGAACAGACCAAAATATAAAAAGGAACTCTTAAAATTAAAAAAAATTATAGCAGAAATGAAAAACTCAATGGAAGGGGTAGAAGATAAAGTTGATAATATCTGTCAGAAAGGAGAATAAAAAGACAAAAAGATGGAAAATAGAAAAGATAAGAACATTGGAGAATTAATCCAAGAGTCCAACATCCAAATGATAACATTTCCGGAAAGAAAACAATGGGGAAGAAATCAATAAAATACTTTAAGAAATTTCCAAGAAACTAAAGGATATGAGTTGACAGACTGGAAGGGTCTGCTGAGAATCCAACACGGTAGATGAAAATAGACCCAAATCAAGACACATAACTGTGAAATTTTAGAATACTAACAAAGAAATAGAAATTATTACAAGCTTCCAGAAAGCAAAAAATGGATGACATGCAAAAGATTCAGAAAACAGAACAGCTTTGTACTTCTCAGTATCAATACTGAAAGCTAGAAAAGCATGGAACAATGAGTCTAATTTTTTTTAAATGCAAACTAAAATGCCTTAGTCAGCCAATCAATTAAATATCAATATAGAATAAAAGTACTGAAAAAAAAGAATAAAAGTATTGTCATACATGCAAGTCTCAAAGAATTTACTTCTCATACCCATTCTGTTAAGAAGCAGACCAGAGGAAGTATGTCACTAAAACAAGAGAATAAACCAAGAAAGAGAAAGACATGGGATTTAGGAAATATGAAACCCAGTGAAGAGAGGAAGAGAAATCTAGAAAGATAGTTAAGAGAAATATCAGGATAATAGTTGTGCACCGGATGTCCAAGGCAATAATTCCAGATTAGGACAGTATGACTATAAAAATAGACATGTTAAAGGCTATCATCTCCAAGATCCCCACTGTCAATGTTCCATCCTTCTTTTTAACCTGAGGACAGAATGCCCAGGTAAGCCTGGCTCAAGACTATCTGTACTTGGCTAATTTGTCTATGTGCTGCCAAAGCTCCTACACACCTTCCCTCCAAGCACTGCAGCAGCCTGGATCAGGTGTAGACACACATGTAACCCCACAGAAGTTATCTGCTGTCATCTGCTATGTAGGGAGAGGGATCATGGGGTGAGTAGAAGTAGAGAAGTCAGAAGGGCCCACTCCCCATCAAACCACATTATTATCAGACAACTAATTTCTGTTCCACACAACAGCCCATCAGTGACCTGACTGGTGAGCCATGTGTGTTCTTCCCTGAACTCACTCATGACCTTGCCTGCTGACTTCCCCAGAAATGGCTCTTATAAACATTAAAGGAAGATGAAGCCAGACTATGACCAAAAGACTGTTCAGCTTATGCACTCCTGGGTATCTTCACCTAATAGTAACTTCAGGAACCAATGAGATGTGGGCTTGCCACTCAGGTTTTTAAAACAAAAGAAAATATTACTTAAACTATAAGAAAAAGCAAAGGAATGAGTAACACAAAAGTCAGGGTAGGTATTACCTGTTGTGATTAGGGAAAGGAATATAACTGGGAGGGGCATAGAGGTGGCTTATAAGGTATGGGTTGTGTTCTGTTTCTTAACAACAGTAGTGTTTTATTATTCATTATGCTGTACATACAGATTTAATATACTCTGCTGTAGAGATACATTTCACAATAAAATAATTTAAATAAAGAAAAGGAAAAATGAGAGGGAATAAAGCAATAAGGAGAAAGGAATCAATCAACTCTGATATTATAAAGGGCAGCAGTGGGCAGGGGCATGGGGAGGCGGTGGAGAACAGCGGTAGGATTCACTTACCATTTCATACGCTACTTCCTCAGAGGTATCTGTTTCTAAATTGAAACTGAATTCAATAGCTTCATTGTCTTTGTGCTTGCCTTTCAATTTTTTAGGATCTTCAACCCAGAGTCTTAAAGCCAGGGATGAATTTGAGGAGTCATCTTCCTCTGCTAACTCCACCCTCAGTCCTGTATCCTCAGCAAAAAATGCGTGGTTTAGTAGGTCCCTGATAGACAACCTAATAAACAAAATACGTATCTCATTATCAGTTTTTCCAATCATAAATAAGATATAGAATCCTTAATTAGTAAACATCAATTATATAAAAATAACAATCTTATTTTAACTCTTCTATTAATTACCCCATTAATCTGTCTTGTTATAAAAACCAAATCTTAAATCCAACTTATTGTTTACCAAGGATGCAAAGAAATCCCAACTAACACGCACTTAAAGTCACCTTAATTAAATATTATTACCAGCAGCATAGCTATATACTCAAGTTTAACATACCTATAAGTATGCCTAAAGAACTGTAGAAGTGCTGAAGTATATGTTAGGTGGAGTGACTAGCTTCCCTAAGCCACTGGCCTAAGTTACTAAAATTCAAACAACAGATTGTCAGTAAAGGAAACGAAAAGCTCTTCTGGATATATAACCTCTAAAGGAAATCAGAAATTCAAACTCTTTTACAAATAGAAGTTATTGACTCCATCAACAATAATCTAGTCAGTGTACTTCACTCTTTAGAGAATGCTCCGAATGAAACTAATTTAGTTCGGCAAAGTCCCATGGTTTTCTTAAAGTATCTAAGTCTAGTGTTTTAGGCCAAAGTATATATGCAAGGATACACCTCTATCTAAAATTAGGGCTTAACTATCTCTGAAGAGAAAAAAAAGACAGGGGTTCAAAAGATTCTTTTACAAGCTGGGAGCAGTTAATTTCCTTTGCTTGGACCAATTTCTAAACAGATATATAATATCTAATCTATCTATATTATATGCCAAAGAGAGCTCAAACTAATATATTCCACAATGTCTACATTGAAAACCTCTCCTATACTATTTAAAGATAAAATATATTGACAGCATGGTATGCTGTAAGTTGATGATTTTCCACCCTCCTGATCATTTTTTTTTTAGTGATCGAGGAAAAAATAATTAAGAGACTGCTATAAAATAAAAAGAATAAGCTTCTTCAGACTAATTAGTTTTAAAGTTACGGTGAGAGGTGCCACCAAGGGGCACCTGGGTGGCTCAGTCAGTTAAGTGCTCAGGTGATGATCTCATGGTTCTGGGATCCAGCCCTGTGTCTGGCTCTCTGCTCAGTGGGGAGCCTGCTTCTCTCAATCCCTCTGTCCCTCCTCCTGTTCATGTATGTACTCTCTAAAAAATAGGTAAAATCTTAAAAAAAAAGAAGACATAACCAAGTTAAGACCTCTGCCTTTCAATGAAAATGTTGCCTGTGTATTTTTACTGTGGGATAATTATAGCAATAGCAGCAAAAGATATGATTAAATACTTAAAACTAACTCTGTTAGTTGTTTTGTATGTATTATCCTTTTAATCATCAAAATAAATACCTGCTTTGAGGAACAGCTAAGTAACTTGCTCAAGATCACACTGGCTAAGTGTGAGTCCACATTTAAATTTTAGTCTGATGCAGAAGTCTGTGCTCTTTCTAATACACTAATATGCCATGAATCCTTTTGAATATTCCAATGTTCTTTGGTAAGAGATCTCAATTAAAATGCTGCAAAAGCTATAATCAGAATCCAAACTAAAACGGCTGCTTCAATATAGTACAACTGGCCCTCGAACATTGTGGTGGTTGCAGGGAATGGTTGGGGTGCCGACCTTAGTTGAAAAATCTGTGTCTAACTCTTAGTTCCCCAAAAACTTAACGACTAATAGCCTACTGTTGGCCAGAAGCCTTATCAATAACATAAACAATTGATTAACACATATTTTCTATGTGTTATATACTATGTTATGCATTTTATACTGTATTTTTACAATAAAGCTAGAGTAAAGAAAATATTAAGAAAAACCATAAGGAAGAGAAAATACATTTACAGTACTGTAATGAATAGTACTGTAATTCTATTACAGTACTTGGATAACAAGTTATCCAAGGGTCAACTGCACCTTTAAGTAGTTATGTATTTTAATTGTGATAAAAATTACCACTTAAAAAAAGGCATGCATAAACTCTTACAACTCAAAATAGCCACAACAAAATAAACAATCTAATTTTTTTAAAAGGGCAAAGGACTTGAACAGACATTTCTCCAAAGATATCCAAATGGCCAACAACCACATGTAAAGATATTCAACATCATTAGTCATAGGAAAATGTAAATCAAAACCACAATGAGATACCACTTCATAACCATCAGGATGGCTATTATCAAAAAAATGGAAAAAAAAATAAATGTTGGTGAAGATGTTGACAAATTTGAACCTTCATACCTTCCTTTCTGGAAGGAATACAAAATGGTGTAGCCACTGCAGAAAAAAACTGGCGGTTCTTCAAAGAATTAAATATAGTATTACCATATGTTCCAGTAATTCCATTCCTAGGTATACACTGAAAAGACCTGAAATCAGGGATTCAAGCAAATACTTATTCACCAATGTTCATGCAGCATTATTCACCATATAGCCAAAAGATAAAAATAACCCCGGTGTCTATCAACAGATGAATGGATGAATATACAAAATGTGCTATATGTGTGTATGTATTTCTGCCTTTAAAAGGAAGGAAATTCTGATACTTGCTTTAACATGGAAGCCAAACTTGAAAAACATTATGCTAAGTGAAATAAACCAGACACAAAGGACAAGTATTGTATTGATTTCACTTACATGAGATACTTAGAAGAAGCAAATTCATGGAGACAGAAAGTAGAATAAAGATTATCAGCGGTTGAGAGGAAGAGAAAATGGAGAGGTATTATTTAGTGAGTACAGAGTTTCTGTTTGGTGATGAAAAGGTTCTGGAAATAGAGGTGATGGTTGTATAACAATATGAATGTGCTTAAGGTCACTGAATTGCACACTTAAAAACGATGAAAATGGTCACTCTTAGGGTGTGTATAGTTTACCATAATTAAAATACATAACTACCTAGATACAGCCTGTTGGTATAATAGCATTCTGTAATAAAGCTATAATTAAACAGACTTAAAAAAATGAGCAGGCTTTACCTTAGTGGCTTTATATATCCTCAGATACACAACACTAAACTTAGAAAACTAATAAAAATGGGGGGCAGTCAATAAAATGTGGGTGAAAATAATTTCTGTAAAGGACCTATCACCTATATTAATCATAATCAATATGAAGATAAAAAAATCAAAAGACTAACTTACTGAGTTAACTCAGCAACTATCCAAACCTCAAATTAATGGGAAATATAAGCTAAAACTAAAGGGATGTGTCCATGAGGAAAACATAAATTGGGTTACAAATAAACCTAAAATTATACTTCTTGAACAAAAATAGCCCTATCTACTTTACCATTATCATGACACAAGGACATTGGTCAAATACGAAACATCTGATGAGTTGATGGTCAATTCTTTTTAAGCTATCTTTTTTTAAGTACTTACATAAACGTGACACTGCAGAAGCTCTCTACTATCAACTGTTAGAAGCAAGTTAACTGGGGGGTCCCCAGTGACTGTTAAACTGAAGGCTGAAGGTGATGAAAATTTGCCATAACACATACAAACAAAACTCAAATTTCAATTCTAGAAAAATTTAGCACATGATATCAAAGCCCAAAATGGCAAACAACATGCACTGATATACTTCACTCTAGATGGTATGGTTTGTTTTCCATTCAAAAGTAATACCTGGTATTATTCAAAGTCAGAAAATGACTCAGTCCAAGGTAAGAGATCAATGTATCCATCTGTCACATCATTTCACTATATTTGTACCCACCTTTCTGATTTGTTTTGACGAATACATCCTTCAATGATTTCTTTCACTTCAGGATCAGTGACTTTATTGAAACTGGCTGGTTTTATGCCCTGGGGGAAAAATGGTTTCTAGTCACAAATTAAGCAATTAAAATCTCAAGTCAACAGGACACTTATTAACATAATAATTTTTATCACTAACCCATATTCAAACTTTACATATATATGTATATATATATAGTGTAAGTTTCACAATTTTTTGATGAAGATATTGTCAGTTCTAATGATCTACAAATAACAGTGAAAAATTGTGAACAATCTAAATTTCCAACAACAGAGATACAAATTGTGTGATACATATATATGCTAATGTTCTGCAAAATCTAAAAATGTTCTCAAAGTATTTAATAACATGGAGAATTCTCATATTGCAGCATTAAATAGGGAAAAAATATTTGATCCCAAAATATACATATAAGTATAACCCCAATCAATAAACTATAATAAACAAGTCTTCCAGAATGGCTAGAAGCAACAATCAATATATATGTATGTATGAAAAATATATATATATATAACTTTTGAAAAACCTGTATTATCTTTACCATTAAGCAATACTAAAATATTGAGAGAAACTCAAGCTAATTATCAGGTTCTAGGAGTTCAATGATAAATTAGTAAGGTCCACACAATTAAAAGTGTTTCTGTAACTGTGTTACTGCCTGAATATGCTTATTTTACATTCTATTACCCTTTAATTATGAGGTTTTTTAAAAAGATTTTATTTATTTATTCCTGAAAGACACAGAGAGAGGCAGAGACATAGGCAAAGGGAGAAGTAGGCTCCCTGCGGGGACTCGATCCCAAGTCCCTGGAATCATGCCCTAGCTGAAGGCAGACACTCAACCACTGAGCCACCCAGGTGTCCCAAATTATGAGTTTTAGACTTTAAAAAAATCATTAGGGGTGCTGGGGTGCCACAGTTGGTTGAGCGTCCGACTCTTGGTTTTGGCTCAGGCCATGATCCAGGGTCCTGGGATCTAGCCCCATGTCTGGTTCCATACTCAGCATGGAGTCTGCTTAGGATTCTTTCCCCCTCTCCCTCTGCCCCTCCCACTTGTGCTCTCTTTTCTCTCTCTCTCTCTCTCTAAAATAAACAAATCTTTAAAAAAATAAATGTTACAGTCATTTAACAGAAAACTCCAAATTAATCTAGAAGGAGAAAGATATAGAATAATTGTCATGAAATAAGGCAATCTAAAAACTATTTCTGGGTCTGTCACACTACTTCATAGGATGCAGAATCAGAAAACCTAGTATCACATACTAAATAAATTTGGTGAGATTAGAAGTTAATTTAGATATCAAATTCAAGAAGCTTTAATATAGATGGAAATGTGAATTGTGATATGGCATTTTTTACTTTAATATAAAATAATAAAGTCACCATTCAAAAAATGGAGTTACATTATTCTTATAGAAAAAGTCCTATCGTATAGGATATAGATATCGTATATTGTGAAGTAGGTAATAGAGGGTGGGGTGGGTGAAAACCTGGTGGAAATACCATGTAAGTTCCACTGTGTATCCCATTCCCAATTCCGCCTTTACTGAGATCACATTGGTAACATAAAATCAGTCACTGAGGGAATATTTAACACCAAGGAAATCAGCAAGTGTTAGAAATAAGCGCTTTTTCTTTTTCAGAGTCAGTTGTTAAACATTTACCTGCTCAACACTACTTTATGTCTCTTCCATTCTTTAAGAGTCCCTCCTCCCCTTTTGCTTTTTTTTTCATGAAATTGATTTGTTGGACAAACTAGGTCATTTGTCCTACAGAATGGCCCACATTCTGGATATTGGCCTTATTTCTTGTCTCATTACACAAGTATCTCCAGAGTCATGTCTAGAGTCAAAATCCAACATTACTAGTAGCTGTGTGAACTTTGGCAAGTCACAATCTGATTCTCAGTCTCATCATTCATAAACTGAAGATAGTGCCATCTTGTAGGGATTTAAATATGAAAGTATACAGCATTTATTTTAAAAGGGTACCTATTAGTTCAAACATTCTGACAATCTCTTTCTTGGCCTATTCTAGAGCCACCCAACTGGATATGAAATAGACCTAATTTTGAACAATCTTAAGACTTGGCTTCTATCTTTTTTACATCCCTTAATATACTCCTATCCTTTTATTTTTATAGCTATTTGTGAGTTTATCCATACTAAAACTGCAAGCTCTTCATGGGTAGCTTGCAAAAAAAATACCCCTAACAGGGGACCAAAAACTGTATCTGTTGAATAATATTTTGTTCTTTTTAAATTTTTTTAAATTTGTTTTTATTGAAGTTCGATTTGCCAACATATAGTATAACACCCAGTGCTCATCCCATCAAGTGCCTGTCCTCAGTGCCTGTCACCCAGTTACCCCAACACCCGACCAACCACCCCATCCACAACCCTTTGTGTTGAATTTTGAATGCCCTTTTAAAATCAGGCTTTGCATCAGAAACTTTCAAAACCATTTAGTCAATCTTCATTATTCAGCTTTGAAAAAAAATTCCACCTAATAAATCTAAAAATTATCAACAAATGCATACTGATGATATGTCTGTACATTTACCCAAGATACTAATAGTGTTTAATGCGACCCCAATAAAGCATAGGTATATAGCATAAATCTAAAGTTTGTTTCATTACAATTATATTAAATTTAGCATGTTATATAGCACTAAACCAGAATTAGTTTTAATGTCAGTTGGTAAAGTCGTCACATGAAATGTGACAATCTAGGAAGTAAAAAGAATAAAGTTATACCTACACTAGTTACTTTACGGTATATTTGAGCTGCATTCTGACACTCGGAATAAGGGTACTCTGAAGTAGCCATTTCCAGCATACACATTCCAAAAGCATAAACATCTACAGATTCATCGTAGTGTTCTTCATACATCTCTGGGGCCATAAACTCAGGAGTCCCTACAAAATAACACCACATCCACATCTTTATTAAAAAGAAAAATGAAAAGAAAGAAAAAAAGAAAACTGTATCCATCAATATCATAGGAAGGATTGAGGGTTTGCCATAAGGATTATCTGAGTTAATTTCTGCTCCCTAAACCAAATTTATAAAAATTGGCAGAATATTTTCTATATCTATATAAGTATATAAGGAATTTCCCTAACTTTCTATACTGATAAATTATAATTTGTAAATGCTCAAGATCAGGTAATGATTTCTAAAATCTGTCTTTATTTCTATCTCTTCTTTATAATTTTTTTCTAAACTAAATTAGTAGATCTTCTTTCTTAAATCTTCAGAACCTTTTAATAACCTTTAGTATACCCCACAAAAGAAATACACTAGGATGTCTCTGAAATAAGGAAATATGTAATAGATATTTCAAAGCAAATTCACATTCTAGGCCAGGAGTCAGCAAACTTCTCTGTAAAGAACCAGAGAGTAAATATTTCAGAGACAATGATCTCTGTCACAACTATTCAACTCTGCCACTGTAATGCAAAAGCAGCCACAGACAATACATAAATGAGTGGGTAAAGCTGTGTTCCCATAAAACTTTATTTACGAAAATAGGCAATGGGGCCAGATTTGGCTCATGAGCCATAGTTTGCTGATCCCTATTCTAGACATATACAGTTAACAAAATCTCTCTTTATCCAACCAATAAACTATAAAATTTTAATCACCAATGACACTCTTAGCAAATGATGTTCTCATTAAGGTGGCTAGTCCAAGATCACCAATCTTCACAGATCCAGTGGGTCCTGTGATGAAAATATTGTCACACTTCAGATCCCGGTGAATAATGGGAGGAGTCCTAGTGTGCAAGAACTGCAGCCCCTTTAAAATTTGCCTGCACCAGCTCCTTAAGACCTTTGGTTTCATGACTTTAAATCGTTTTAAGTACCTATGCAAAGAAACAAAAGACCACATGTAAACAAACACAGCTAGCTTATTATATGAGCACTATTAGGGTAAATCATGTAAGCTATTCTCAGTGCTATGACTGCCATCACTGAGTTGTTTTCTATTGTCTGTTACAGAAAAATCATTTTTTAAGATTTTATTTATGTATTCATGAGAGACACACACAGAGAGAGAGAAGCAGTGACATAGGCAGAGGGAGAAGCAGGCTCCCTGCAGAGAGCCTGATGCAGGACTCGATCCCAAACCCCAGGATCATGACCTGAACCAAAGGCAGACACTCAACCACTGAGCCACCCAGATACCCCTAGAAAAACAATTTTAAATATAAGGCTTCATTCTTAGAGAAGACATCCTGCCAAGTTTAGCAATTTTTTTAGCATTTTTAATTCAAAACAAGAATCATTCTAATCAGAGTAACCTTTTGTGGAAGGGTAGCACAATTTTATAAAGAAAATCCTTCTCTACTTTCTAATAACTGCTTATATAAGGTCACCAGGGGGTTTAACTAGGTGAAATTTTAGTGCAAAGATGCTAGGAAACAGAAAAAGTATAACCCACATTTAATAGTTATAAATAAGTGATTATACCATTGAATGAAAGACTATAGTCAGAAACAAAATAAACTATAATTATACAGTACTGCTCACTAGATAGGTGAACCTGACCACAACCCTGATCTTTCATTATTTTTACTAAATGACATTTATTACTTTTTAAATATTTTATTTATTTATTCATGGGAGACGCAGAGAGAGGGAGAGGCAGAGACATAGGCAGAGAGAGAAGCAGGCTCCATCCAGGGAACCTGATGTGGGACTTGATCCCGGGACTCCAGGATCACGCCCTGGGCTGAAGGCAGGCACTCAACCGCTGAGCCACCCAAGCGTCCCAACATCCTAAATTTTTTAACCTGTCCTGAGACATAGTCACTAGATTCAGATGCTACAAATTCTCTAATAAACAACTTTTAGGACTCTGGAAAATTATTTCCAAATAAAACTTCATTGGCACTATCAGGGTCAACTTACGTCTTTAAAGTTCCTGATGTCATAAGTTCAGTCACCAATACAATACATTTCTTTCCTTTTAATATAGACTCCCAGGAATCATAAAATCGAACTATATTGGGATGTTGGAGACCCTTTAACATTTCTGCTTCTTCCTTGAACCTTTGCTGCTCAGCTTTGGTTAATTTCCGGTCCTGAAATGGAATAAGAAGCTCCAAATTAGAATCTAGAAATTTGCATGCACATTTCTAACATCATTCAAATGTGTGCTTTATTTTGTTGTTTTCATTTATGTATATATTTATCTTCAACTGTAAATTTTTTTTTCTCAGGACCTATATAATTACTGACATATTTTATTAGGTAGATACTTTGACTCCTGCCATTCAACAATGCAGTAGCTGTTATAGTTCAAAACTATATTATAAACCCACCTGCAAAATAAATCAATAACTTAAAAATCAATCTTATATAATAACTAAACTTTCTGTGGTAATCATTCCACAATATACACATATATCAAATCATTATGTTGTACACATTGTTATATGTCAATTATATCTCAATAAAACTGGAAAAATAACTAAATAAAATTTCCTATGCTGGAAAAGAAAAACAATATATCAAAATGAAAAAAAAACAATAATCAAAACAAATAGGAAGTTTCCCCAAATCCCTAAATTTCCACATCTATAGGATCTATAATGTCAGGGCAGGAATAATCAAAATGTTAGACATGTAGACATTTATGGTGGTTAAATATGTGAAATACCAACGTATTTCCAGACAGAAATACAAGATTACCATCCAGTAAAATACCTTCAAACAGGAAATGAACCTCTAATCTGCTACATTAAATGCTAGAAGTCAAAGGAACAATGTTTACAGAATTCTGAGGACTGTAATCCTAAAACCCTGAACCCAGACAAGCTACCAATCAAATTTAAAAGGGAAAAATAAACACATTTTCATGAAAACAAGGACCCAAAGTATACCATACCATACAGCTTTTCTGAAAATACTCAAAGAATTTCAATAAAAATATGGCCACATAAAATTATTAGCAAAGGAGAGTGTGGCATACAATAAATAGTATGAAATTTCCAATAATGCTTACTTAGAGTCAAGTCTAAGTAATCCTGGTTAATGTGGTTAGAAATATTGAATTTTATTTTTAAAAAATATTTTATTTATTTATTCATGAGAGAAATGGAGAAGAGAGAGGCAGAGACACAGGCAGAAGAAGTAGGCTCCCCGAAAGGAGCCTGATGTGGTACTCGATCCTGGACCCCAGGATCACGCCCTGAGCAGGAGGCAGACACTCAACCACTGAGCCACCCAGGGGTCCCAAATAAAATAAAGAAAGAAAAAAAAAGAAAAGGAGAGAAAAGAAGAGAAAAGAAAGACCATCCATTCTATGTTGAATTGTCATTGCATCTTTTTAAAAAATCACTTGACTGTATCTGTTTGGGTCTATTTCTAAACTCTGTTCTGTCCCATTTATCTTTGTGCCTATCTTTGCCAATACCAAACATGTCTTAATTACTGTACCCTTGGACTAAGTCTGAAAATCAGTTAACATGAATTCCTTAAAGTTCTTTGTCAAAATTGTTTTAGTATTTCAGTTCCTTGCCTTTCTATGTTAATTTTAAAATCAGTCTGTCAACAACAACAAAAATTCCCACTGGGGTTTTGATGTAATTATCTTGAATTTCTAGGTCATATGGAGAAAACTGACATCTCAATATTGAGTCTTCCAATAAACCAATCCATTTATTTGGATTTCCTTTGATTCCTTCTATCAATGTTTTTTTTTTTGGCTTTCAGCATACAGATTCTGCACATACTTTCTTACATATATACTTAAGCAGTTTTTTTTAGTGCTACTGTAAATGATACTTTTAAATAGCAATTTCAGGATGCCTGGGTGGCTTAGTGGTTAAGCATCTGACTTTGGCTCAGGTTGTGATCCTGGAGTCCCAGGATCAAGTCCCATATCGGGCTCACTGCATGGAGCCTGCTTCTCCCTCTGCCTCTCATGAATAAATAAAATCTTTTTTAAAAAATAGCAATTTCATGGTAACATTTTTATACACTAATAATAAAATAGTAGAAAGAGAAATTAAGAAAATTCCATTTATAATTGCACCAAAAAGAATAAAATACCCAGGAATAAACTTAATCAAGGAAGTGAAAGACCTATACACTGAAAACTATAAAACATTGATAAAAGAAATTAAAGATGACACAAATGGAAAAATACTCCATGCTCACAGATGAGAAGAATTACTAATGTTAAAATGCCCATACCACCCAAAGCGATCTACAGATTCAATGCAATCTCTATCAAAATACCACCATTTTTCACAGAACTAGAGCAAAAATTCCTAAAATTTCTATGGAGCCATAAAATACCCTAAGTAGTCAAGGAAATCTTGAGAAAGAAAAATAAAGCTGGAGTATCACAATTTGATTTCAAGATATACTACAAAACTGTTGTAATCAAAACAGTATGGTCTGGCACAAAAACACCACATACATCAAAAGAACAGAACAGAGATCCCAGAAATAAATCCACGCTTATATGGTCAATTGATCCATGACAAAGGAGACAAGAATATACTATGGGAAAAAGAAAGTCTCTTCAATAAATTGTATGGGGGAAACTGGACAGCTACATGCAAAATAATGAAAATGAACCACTTTCTTACACCATACATAAAAATAATCTCAAAATGGAATAAGGACCTAAATGAGACCTGAAACCATAAAAATCCTAGAAAAGAACACATGCAGTAATTCCTCTGACATCAGCCATAGCAACACTTTTCTAGATAGGTCTCCTAAAGCCAGGGAAACAAAAACAAAACTACTGAAACTATATCAAAATAAAAAGCTTCTGCATAGCAAAGGAAATCATCAATAAAAAAGTCAACCTACTAAATGGGAAAAGATATTTGTCAATGATATATCTAACAAGTGGTTAATATCTGAAATATATAAAGAATTCACGCAATTCAACACCAAAAAAAATCAGATTAAAAAATGGCTAGGGTCACCTGGGTGGCTCAGTCAGTTAAATGTCCAACTTTTTAATTCAGCCCTGGTCATGATCTCAGGGTGGTAAGATCAAGTCCTACATTGGCATCCATGCTCAGTGCAGTGTCTGCTTGGGATTCTCCCTCTCCCTCTGCCCCTCCTCCCTCACTCCCCACTTGCATGCTCTCTCTCAAATAAATAAATCCTTTTAAAAAATGGCTAGAGAATCTGAACATTTTTCCGAAGAAGACATACAGATGGCCAACAAATAAAAATATGTTCACTATCACTCTTTATCAGGGAAATACAAATCAAAATCACACTGAGATATCACCATAATCTCTCAAAATGACTATAAACAAAAAGAAAAGAAATAACTGATGGTGAGAATGTGGAGAAAAAGGAACCCTCAAGCACTATTAGAAGGAATGTAAGTTGGTGCAGCCATTCTGGAAAACAGTATGGAGGTTCCTCAAAAAAATAAAAATAACAAATGACCAAATAATTCCAATATTGGGTATTTACTCCCCAAAATTAAAACAGTAATTCAAAACTATACATGTACCCCTGTGTTTACTGCAATATTATTTATAATACCCAAGATATGGAAGCAACCTAAGTCTATCAATAGAGGAATGGATAAGGAAGACATGGTGTATATATACACAATGGAATATTATGCAGCCACAAAAAAGGTGAGGTTGTGCCATTTGAGACAATATGGATGGACCTAGAGGGTATGATCCTAAGTGGAATAAGTCAGACTCAGAAAGACAAATACCGTATGATTTCACTCACATGTGGAATTTAGAAAACAAATGAGTAAACAAACAAAAGCAAAATTAAACCTACAAATCCAGAGAACAAACTGATGGTTGCCAGAGAGGAGGAGGTAAGGGAATGGGCAAAATGGGTAAAGGGCAGGGGAAGATACAGGCTGTAATGTTGTTTTTCTTAATGGATGTTATCAGGTTATGAAAGTTCCCTTCAATTGCAAATTTACTGAGTTTTGATCAGAAATGGATACTAAATTTCTTCAAATGTTTTTTTCTGCATCTATTGAAATGATTGTTTTTTTCTTCTATAGTCTCTTGATACATTGAATTACATTCACTTTCAAATTTTAAATAATCCTTGCCATCCTGGGAAAATCCCATAGTCAGTCATCACATGTTATCCTTTCTGTATATTGCTGGATTTAATGTACTAATGTTATGTTCACGAGGGATATTGGTCTGCAGTTTTCTTGTAATGTTTCTGTTTTTTGTATCATGTGGGAAGGGTATGGCTTGACTCTTGCTCTGCTGCCTTGAGGCAATCATTGCTCTAAGTATACAAATTATGGCTTGGACCTTCACCTTGTCATCCTATACCTTCTCTCTTCCTTCTATCTTCTTCTTCTTTCTCTAGAGAAAAGATATTAGAGACTGAGATTTTCCAAGTATTACATTCTATCATCAACAGGAAAATATAAAGTTATCTCTTTTACAAAGTACTGTTTATTTTCTTACTGATTTTGCTAAGACATCCACAATACTGAAAAAAATGGTGATAACAGCTATCACTGCCTTTTATTGTATTTTAATTAAAAGTATTATTATCTCACATCTTACAATGCTTATTGTTTTTGTTTTTGCAAAGTTTAACATGTTGAAGTAATTTCCTTACATTCCTACTTTACTTTTATTTTTAAATTAGGAGTGGCTGCTGAATTTTATCAAATGTTTTCTTAGCACCCACTGATGTGATCATATGGTTTCTTGATAAGTTCCTGATACAGAACTATTAAAATCTTCAAGGCCTACCTAGGTGCAGCACATTATTCTTTTGATCCACTGGTGAGTCTTATTTGCTAATATTTTGCTAAGGGTTTTAACATCTATATTCATATGTAAGATTAAGCTATACTTTTCTTTTTTGTACAATATAAGGATTTGTATTCAGATTACACTGGCCTCATGAAATTAACTGGGATTAAATAGTTTTAATATTGGATTCACTTGTCACTTAAAGGTTACCTAGAAATTGAGCTCTGAATTTACTCGCTGTTTTTGAATTGCAAGAAAATTAAAACATAAAGAGTAAGGTATAACAATCAGCTTTGTTGAATTTTAACATTTTGCCAAATTTACTTTCATTTAAACAAGACACTTAA